GCAGCTGCTCCTTAGCTCAGTGCCTGTTGTCAGGATAAGGCCTTTGAAGGGATTAGGTGCTGCAGCTGAAGGCTTTAAGAAGCACTTGGGATAGATAAGAGATGCTGAAAGCAGCCTTGGAGGTCCTCATGTGAACTGTACCAAGGCCTGGCATCCTCCTGGTATTTGCCTCTCCCTTCCCTATCCTGACTAAGGGAAAAATTCTGCTCTGTAGCTCACACATATGAACAAAAATGAAAGTGTGTGTCAGATGGCTTGCCAAAATATTAGATACACAATCGTCCTTAATGTTCTTTCAGCCAGTGCTGAAATGCAAACCAGTAACACTGGGTATCTCCAATTCTCTCTCAAGTAAGAGTTGCCTTTCACTGTCAGATCCAAACAGCAAGTTGTTTCCAAAACATCTCAGTGAGATGAAAAACCTCCCAGGCATGAATTTGACCCCCAAATTCCAGGCCCAGCTGGGAGAGCTGAGCATGTCTGAGTCAGCTGAGCCCATTTTGCTGAATCACTCAGCAAATCCCTGGACATTTCTCCCAAGGTGGCTGCAAACACAGAGCCTGCAGTGCTCCCAGTTTGCTGACTGACCCACACCTCCTGGTGCTCTGATGGCACAGGGTGGCTGCCATTCAAGAGTGTTTCCTAGGGATTCGTAGCCTTTTTCACCAACAATAGCAGAATTTTGTTCCTCTTTCAAAAATAATTTGACTTGTTCTTGGGAATGGCAGTTCTCAGCACCAATGGTAATTTATTTTCTTTTCCTAAAAAAAAATGTACACAAGTCTGATGGCTGGGGGCCTAGTGATGGAGTTTTTATATGGATTTTGCATTCTTTGTAGCTCCCCAAAATCATGCCAGACCATGAGAAATTATACTTTTAAAGTTGTGTTGCTTCATTTATTTCAAAAGGAAGCTTCTACAACACGGTGCTAATATTTTTGCATAAATTTCTTTGACTAACACTTCTGAGAAATTAGAAGCTGATAGGACATGGTCCAGAGGCAATAATAGAAGAATTATGTAAATGCAGGAAGAATGATGTAAATGTAGGCTGGACTTTAATTCCAGCTTTAATTTTTGCTCTGTGATGTTGCAGAGAATGTCTGTGCTTTCAAGTGATGCAGGCCTTCGGTTCCCTTCTTTACCAGAAAGCTTGGATGAGATTTTAGGTAATTAATTAGGATGGGCATGTTAATTACAAGCTTGCTGTGCCTGAGCATAAAGATTGTCACCTCTCTTTGGTGGCTGCAGTAATTCCTGCTGTCACTGTCATATTTTCTGAAAAATCCTCTTTGCCCAGGATTTTCTCCTGGGAAGCTCAGAAGCCTCAGAGAGGAATGAAAACAAGAATTATCTGATTGCTGCTCCTGTGTTTGCTGCTTTGGAATGTGGCTTGGACATTGTTTACCAACAGGTGAATGTTTGATTGGTTCCATGTGAATTGTTTTTAATTAATGACCAATCACAGCCAGCTGTGTCAGACTAAGTCAGTCATGGGTTTTTATTATTCATTCTTGTTAAGCCTCCTGATGTATCCTTTCTCTTTCTTTAGTGTAGTTTTAGTATAGCATAATATAATATAATATAATATAATATAATATAATATAATATAATATAATATAATATAATATAATATAATATAATATAATAATGTAATAATGTAATAATGTAATAATGTAATATTGTAATATAATAATAATATAATATCAGCCTTCTGAGAACTTGGAGTCAGATTCTCATCTCTCACCTTGTCCTGGGGACCCTCACAGCTCCACATCCTGCAACTCCTGCAGCTGTAAACCCACCCATCCTTCCCATCATCTCCTGCCTTGTGCAGGGAGCAGAGAAGCTCAGAAAATGCAGCTGAAACCAAATTAGATGGCAGCAAGAATGCTGGAAGAGAACAACCTTGAAAGTATCTACTGTATGTCAAGTCATTTTAAGGACAGCTTGGGAGCTGCAAAAAACAGATGAGAATTGCTAGGCAGAAAAGGTGCTTGGCAGAGCTCCAAATGTGGAGTTATCTCATAGCTCTGACCAAGAACATCACTGAATTTATAAGCTCTGCTTACAGCAAAACATGTGGCAGGGAAAAACTCTTCTCACATACTGCTCTTCTGTGGTCTCTGGGATTCCAACAGTGCATAACTCAAGAGAGGAGCTCTCCTGACGTTTGTAGTAGTGACACAGTGTTTCCACAGGAGAAAATCTGCTTGTGCTGATTGGGAAAATGCCTATTTGCTTCCTTAACTGCAAAGAAGTTCAACAATTTTAATTTTAGCTCTGTTGTTGTGGCAGGATCTCCTTTGAGGCTGTTGATGCTCCAGGGAGATCTTGTTTTGTGTTGTGTGTGATGTGTGTTATAGTCAGATTTTGATCCTTTGTGGCAACTCAAAATAAATCCTGTTGGGATGTGGCCATGGATGGAGTGGTTCCCTGGCAGGTGGCAGCAGCCTCTGGTTTGAATGGTTTTAGTAGTGGCTGTGAGGTCCTCAAAGGATGGGCAAGGTTCAGTTTCTGCTCTTTCAGCTCAAGCCCCAGTGAAGGGGTGAGGTGTGAACCCCAGCAGGGCTGCAAACAGCTCTGGGAGCTTCTGGAGCCACTGCTGCCCACAGGGATCCCAGCCCTCAGGCAACACTGCCAGACTGAATTTTGCAGCCAAAGGCGCCTTTGGGGAGCCAACTTCAGTGCCCCAGGCATTTTGACAGTGCATTAATGAGGCCATAATTCCAGCAGCATTAATCAGAGCCCAGGATGTAGAAGGGAATGATTCACAGAGAAACGCTGTGTTCTCTCAGTCTGTCACTGTGGGAAGGCATTGGTGATGCATGAGTGGGATTTGTGATATTTTTCAGTTCACATGCTCAGGGATTTCCTCTGCAGCTTGAGGAAGGGTTTATTTCCCTGTGGGGAGCAGTGAGGGGTCCCTTACAAGGAGAGCTGAGGTTCCACAGGATGGAGTGTGGGTGTGACTGGCTGAGGCTCAGGGACCCTGCTCAGGCTGGGGGGCAGATTTGAGTGCACAAACTCACACTCTGAGACAGAGCAGATCTGCTCTTGGGTTTTCAGGACATTTGCTTTGTCCTTTGTTACAGAGCAGCCTGGAGGAGGGCAGTGCTGGAGGTTGGGAGCTGCTGTGCAGGGAGTCAGGGCTCTGACCTCCTCCTCCAGGGCTGTGGAGATGCTGGAGCTGCTCTGGGGGCATTTGGGGACCAAATGGGGAAGGTCATCATTGCAGGGCTCTGACCTCCTCCTCCAGGGCTGTGGAGATGCTGGAGCTGCTCTGGGGAGCATTTGGGGACCAGATGGGGAGGGTCAGAGTGACTGACCCCATGCTGTGTGCAATTCTCAGCCCCATTTCCTCCTCTGTTCTCGGGATTTGCTGTTTATTGCAGCCCCGAGACACGGGAAAAGTCCCTGTTTCGGCCTGAGTCGGAGTTCTTCAGTTCTCAGTCTCAGAGTTGTTTATTGTATCTTATCTATAAAAATTTTTCTCCTGTCCAGCCGAGGTGCGCTCAGCAGGACAGACAGCGGCGCTCTGCCCGCCCCCGGGGCGGTGTTATCTCTTTATACTACAAACTACTGATAACATGTTTACAATTACTTTCCTATACCTATCACCTGTGTTAGACAGTGAGCTTCTACTCTAGACCAATCCAAAAGTGCCACCATCACAGCAGAAGATGAAGATAGAGAAGAAGAAGAGGGACTGGACATGCCCAAGTCCCTCCATCTTGTCCCCAAAACCCCCATTCTAAAAACCCCAAAATCTACCCCTTCACCCAGTGATAATTTTATTATTACACTGCTTAAACTTCTGTGGCTTTCAGGTCTTCATCCAAAGCTGGTAATTTGCTCCAGGGGTCATAATCAAACCCCCAGGTGTTCTGGGCTGTGTGCCAGGGTCTCTGAGCCCCTGGCAGGGGTCCTGGCAGCTCTGGACACCCAGAGGGATGCACTGAGTTCTGACACTCTGTTTGTTTCTCCTCTCTTCTGTTTGTGATGGATGTGATCTCCTCCTGTTTCAGATTGTTTCCTTCTGTTTCTCTTGGCTTGGTGAGCTCCAAACAGGAGGAGCAGGGCAGAGCTTTATCAGCTCACTGAGAGGGTCACAGCCCATGCCCTCCTGCAGTAACACAGAGTGCCCAGAGCACAGGGGGTTCCCTTGTGCCACAGAAGCTCTGCCCTGCTACTCAGGCCTGTGGTCACTTTGGCCATTGGCCTAACTTAGGGTAGATAACTTGAATTGTTTGCCATTTAAAAAAGCAGCAAGGGAGGTGGAAGAGTTTGATAAAGTCCCATCAAGAAATAGTGTAAAAACTGATTGTGGTATGAGAAGGAATAGTGTGAGAAGTAGATTTGTAGAAAATTTTCAAAACTTGACAGCAGGTTCACATAGCATGCCTCTGTATATAAACCTTGAGATAAGAAATGCTGATTTAGAAATGCCATGGAATAGGACAGGAATTGTTGAGAGAGAAATGGAACTAGAAACAAGTTTCAAAGGATGGCCTTATAAAAAAGACTGGATACTTTGGAGAAATAGAAGTATGAAAGATGCACTGTAGTAAGACCCATGAGGGCTTTTTAAATTATTGGCTTTAAGGCATCTGCAGCATGGTGTGGCTAAAAGCTGATAAGCCAAGAAAGGCTTAGAGTGTTTTGTAATTAAAAAAGAGTTGGCTTCTGATTGTGATGGTGTGAATTGTAACATCTGTATTGTCTCACCCTTCCCATGAGACTGAAAATGGAATAAAAGTGTATAAAATGCCATCTCTGGGTCAGAAAATAGTATTGTCTGACAGAATGGAACAGTAGGGTTGTGATCCAGGAATGGAAAACATGGATTGAAATAACGGAAAAGGTCTTTGAAGAAAAAGAAAGTGCTTTGAAACTTCAGCAGTTCTTTGAAGAGAAAGGTACATTTTATGAGTTCCAGAAAAGGGGTTGTGAGCCAGTCAGGACGGTTTGGTCACTCAGGTTCTCTGGTTTTGCCCTAGGTCTGTTCCAGCATCTGCCCAGGGTCCTGCAGGGGCTGCAGGGGCTGCAGGGCCCCCTCCTGCCACCAACGTGTCCAGCAACAAGAGGCTGCAGCAGACACAAGCCCAGGTGGACGAGGTGAGTGCTCAGCACCAGGTACTCCTGTGCTTGGTCCCCCCTTGTGCAGCTCCTGCTCATCTGAAGGATCCAGAACTTGAGATTTACCAGAGGAGGCAGAGAGTAAAGAGAGATCCTGGATAGAAACATCCCTGCACCAGGAACAGCTCTGCAGATTAAATGTGGGCATTAATGCCATGCAGGAGTGTCAGGGGCAGGGTGGTGGGGATGGATGGAGAGCAGAGATCTCTGCAGCCAGGGCAGGAACTTGGGGCTCATTGCAAAGGGCCTGGGTGCAGGGCCCTGCTGGGAGCTGCCAGGCACAGCTCAGAGCAGGCTCCAAAGAGGGAGAGAGAGGGAAAGAGAGAGAAGGCAAGAGAATGGTAAAGAGAAAATGAGAGAGCAAGGAAAAGAGGATGGATGAGAGAGCAAGGTTCCCGTTACAATACCATAAATCTTCTTCTGTGCTGAATATTCTGATTCTCACTAACCAATCTAGTACAATATACAAATCCTACAGCATTTACATACAAACTATAAGAATCATTACATTACCATACTGTGTTACATTCTAAACCCTATAAACTCCTCTTTGGGTCCCTTCTGCCAAGCTGTAGGGTTTGCTCTGACCCTTGGGCCTGTCTGCAAGCAGAGGGTGTTGTTCCATCAAAAGGGGAATCACCTTCAGCTGGCCATACACTGTTTTCTAGTTGTTCAGTAATTAAAGTATCTCAAAGCTTGCTTTCATTTCAATCTCACTTAAAATTTCTATATTCTCAATATCTTTTGCCTGGCAATCATATTTATAAAGATTTCCTGTTTCATCTTCCCCAACACTGCCAGTTCAGCAATTCCTCCCAGTCTGCTCAGGAGGAGATGTCATAGTGGAAGCAGCTCTTGTAGTGTGTTCTGCACTCCTAAAGGTTAGATGCTAATTTCTCAGACTGTGTCACAGAGACAGAAGAGCATCAGCCTCTCCCAGATAGATTAAAACCACCAGAACTGAGCCACTGAGGGTGGTGTTCATTAGCAGGAGCTCTATTAATTAATCATCCCAATTTATTCACAAAGAAAGGCACCCACACATGATGTCATAACAGCACCTCTAACAAATCCCCACTCCTTCTCTTGATCTTGGGGAACCATGTGCCTGTTCCAGCACATTCTTAAATTCTTGTCTTGGCTGTAATGCCAGAGTCCCTCCAGCTGCAGTGGGAATGGGAACAGTGAGCACACCACTGCTCCTGGGTGCAGCAGGAGGAAGCAGCAGCTGTAGCATCCTTACACACCTGCTGGGGGCCTTTGTGTGCTGGCTATTGAGGAAAGAATATTGTTCAACCCCTCCAAAGGCTGAAGTCACTCATGCTTACTGTCTGTGGAAAAGTGCACAGAGCTTGTGTGATTCTTAAAAGCCAATCTGATAAAATACACATTAGAAAATATGTACTTACTGTGGTAGTCATATTTTCTGAAAAAATCCCTTTGCCCAGGATTTTTCTCCTGGGAAGCTGAGAAGCCTCAAAGAAAAGGAAAACAATTCTGATCTCATTTGCTTCTCCTGTGTTGTGCTCATGTGGAATGTGTTTGGAGATTGGTTACCCACAGGTGATTGTTCCATTGGATTCTGCTGGGAGTTGTTTTCACTCTTTGGCCAATCAGGGCCAAGCTGTGTCAGGACTCTGGAAAGAGTCAGGAGTTTCCATTATTATCTTTTTAGCATTCTGTAAGTATCCTTGCTGTATTCTTTAGTATAGTTTAGTACAGTATTCTTTAATACAATATAGTACCATAAAATAATCAATTAGCCTTCTGAGAACGTGGAGTCAGACTCATCAATCCTTCCTGCCACAGGGCACCCTGCAAATACAATAACTTACATGCCTAAAAGCCTCTATTTTCAAAAGCTTTGGGCATGCTTTAAAGATAGTAGAGAAGACCTCAAAATATCCAACTCAAATGAATTTAAGATGAGTTAAATACACCTGTCAAAATGGGCCGTGTCTTTTTGAGAAGCTTTTCTTTGTTGAAAATCTGGAACTTTCTGGTCTTCCCATTGTTGGTGCTCAGATGTGTTCACAACATCCTCTGGCTGCAGAAATGCCTGCAGAAATGTCTAGACTAGGTTCTCTCTTAATCTCTTTATTTCCTCTTCCAGTGGGGATAGAATGTTACATTTTAACTTTTGTCTTTGGTCAGAATAATGAAATAAATTTCTTGTCCTCAACATGTTCCATCATGAAGGCCCTGTAATTGCTTATGTGAATGGCAGCAAAAGTAACTATCCCTAAAAGATGATAAAAATTGTCTTTTATTATCTTAAAATGAGTGATGCCTGTCAGATACATAGGGCTCTTCAAGTAGATCAGTAGAGATGGCATCAGTGAGGGTAGTGAACCCCTGCTTTGTGTTTAAGATACTCTGTATTCTGATTCTTTTCACTCAGACCCATGAAAATCTGTCTTTTTGTGGAGAAGATGAGATAGTTTTGGATGTTACTCTTGCCCAGTATGGGGGACAATGAGTAATTCTTGGATTTGAGGATTATGTTGGTGAAATCCAGGATTCGTGGGGGTTTTGCTGCCATTTGAGAGAGAGGCTGCTGCTGTCACAGAACCACAGACTGATCTGGGTTGGAAAAGAACTTTAAGGTCATCTAGTCCAACCTGTGCCCTGATACCTCCTCACCAAGCAAACCACTGAGTGCCCCATCCAGGCTTTGTTAAACACTCCAGGGATGGTGACACCACCTGGGCAGACACTTCCAGTGCCCAATCACTCCTTCTGTGAAGAATTGTTCACAGGTTTGGGGCTGATAGCACATGGTCAGCAGGTCCTTTTTAGCAGGGAAATCACAATATAAGCATAGCCAAGGGAGGCAAGCTGGCACTTCCAGCACTGTGAGGTTGCTGGAGTGATGCTGGTTTGTAACACCAAGGGATCCAGTGTGTGATGCCATGATGGGTTTTTTTACTTTTATTTTTATATGCCTTTTATGCATTCTCAATACCCTTAACAAGCATATTTGTAACTTTTTAAACTTAATATCTTAACATAGTCCTGGTATTTTGCTATGCCAGAAGGCCAAACATCTTAAAAGCCCTGCAGCTGGGGACTGGAAAGCCTCACACTATCCTGAGATACCAAGGCCCCCTCTAAAACTCTAAAATATCTTGTAAACTAAAATTAGGCCCCTCTGGGGGGGAATACTTTAGAATAGGGAGGTGTCAGGCCATTCATTTAAGCCTCTAATTGAGGCATCTTTGTTAGACATGCTAATTTGCAAGGTCTGTACATTTACATACATGATCTCCTGTGTGTGTGCATTTCAGCACATTGCACCTTGGTGAATTGTTGTACTGACACCTTGGAGGGGCAGCCTAGAACAGAGGCCAGACAAGATTTAGAGAATAAAGTGGGGATTTATTGAAGGCCTTCAACAGCCACACCTTGGGCAGCCACAGCCTCCCAGAGGCTACACCCAAGCTGGACAATGGGCACCAGTTTTTCAGACAATTATAAATTTGGTCCATTTACATATCAGGGGTTAATTCTCCAGTTACAGCTTCAGTTAATGAAGTCATTGACCCCCAGTTTGCTCCCCCCAATTCACCTTTGTTTGTACCTTTTGGGTTCTGAGGCTGTGGGGTGTCCTTGGGTTCCAGGCCTGGAGAGGAATTGTTTTGTCTGAATAAAAGGGAGAACAGCAGCTGACAGGTTATGGAGTTTACAGTGAGTTTACAGTTCTGCACTGATCCAGTACAGGATGTGAAAAATATAAAAGCTAAAATCCAGAGGCATCACTACTGTGAACAACGCCAATCACTTGTTTTTAAAATTTTAAAAGTTTAATAGTAATGAAATGGTTATAAAATAGAGTAACAATAATTTGGACAATTTGGATTAGGACAATATGAGACAATAAAAACAAAGAGTTACGGAGGTCTGGGTACCTTTTCTGGGCAGCATAAGCCTGAAGAAGGACCCACGTTAACAGAGGATTAACCCTTAAAAACAATAACCTGTTGCATGTTCATACACCTCATCCATGATGCATAAATTCCATTCCAACACAGGATTCTGTCTGGGCAGTGTCAGCTTCTTCCTCTGAATCCTGATGGTGTCTCCAGGGCTGAGCAGGCAGAAGTTCATTTCTTCTGATAGTGGAGCAATAAATTCTCTTTCTCTGAAAGATTCAGGTGTCCTGTGGCTGCTGTGTTGCTGCAAGTCCTTTCTTTAAAGAAAGTATCCAACATAGCATAGTTTCTATTTTAACAATTTTTATAACCTAAAACTATATTTAACACACTACTTAATAAAATTAACACAGCATTACTTTCTAACACAACACATATAATATTCATTTTAATACTTGCGAAAAGCCACTCATAAAATACATGCATTTTTCACAACTACAACAAAGATACTCATGAAATACCGAAGTCAAACCCCTTTTATCCCTCACCTTGGCTTTGTCCCGGCTCTTTTCCCTCCGTTCCGCCCGCAGGTGGCGGCAGAGCCCGGGCAGAGCTCCGGGCTCGGGAATCTCCGGTGCCGGTGATGCTGCCCCAGTGCCCGGGGATGGGTTCAGCTGTTCCTCTATTGAGGTTCCCCCTGATTCCTCTAGAGTTTATTTTCTAAGGCCCAGACAAACATTTATCTATTTGAGAAAATGAAATCCCAGCTGGGTGAGTGTTCACTGCAGCCAGGGTAAATTCAAGAAGTAGTTCTAGGGAAACAAACAAACAAACAAAACAAACACAGAACCAAAAAACAAAACTAAGCAAAAAAAACCCCCCAAACCAAACCAAACAAACAAAAAAAGGCCAAAAAACCCCCAGCAAAACTAAAAAAAAAAAAAAAAGAACCCCCCCCCAAAAACCCAAACCAAAACCTAAAAAATCCAAAACAAAGCAACCCAAAAACCCCAAAAACAATACAAAAAACCCAACAACAAAAAACTAAACCAACCAAAACCAAACCAACCAAAAAAACAGCCAACCAAACAAAACAAAAAACCCCAAAAAACCAAGCAAACCAAAAAACCACAAACTAAAAAGCCCAACCAAAACCCCCCAAAAATGAAGATAATGGGTAGGAAATAGCAAAGTATTTTGTATCAGCATTTTAAAATAGTTTATAATTTTCACTACAAATCGTTGTAGCAAGACAGAATTCAACTAATTACTAGCTGAGAAATCAATAATTTAAAAAATTAGCATTGTTTTATATGAAGTTAAGTGCTTGGAATGTTTTGGTTTGGAAAAGCAAGTATGAAAATTTGGATTGACCAAAATATTTCATTTTGGTTTAGGTTTGGTAGACAAGTGAAACAAATCTTTTGAGACCTTCTCCAGTCCTGTTAAAGATTCTTTCACTATCAATTTCCTCTCGCTGTATTTGAATAATGTATCCTTTAAATAATTCTGGATTTTTGCAGGTAATAGTTAAATTTTATTAAATATGTATAACATGGAATTCCTTATTATAGAGTGTGAGAATTAACAGACCATCACCCTCATTCACTGCTAGAAAAATTGGACCCAGCTTTACAGAGATTGTGATGCTGTCTGACATTTCCATTAGTGGTGACTTTCTGCAGGATTCCTATTTAGTTATTGGCTTGCTAGAAGAGGATTTTCACCTTAGCCAATGTATAAAATCCATGCATGAGCAGCCCTTGCCTGTTGCATCCTGGCTCTCTGCTGCTCTTTGGGTGAATTGGCTCAGGTGAAACGTTCTCCTCCTCCACTTCCAAGCAGGACTTCAGATCCTGGCTGAGAAGTCATCTTGCCCAAAAGATCTGCAGAATGAGGAAATGCTTTGGTAAGGAAATGCACACAGTTCCCTTTAGAATGGCTTTTGTCTGTCTGCTTTCTCTACTTCAGGTAAGGAAGGTACAAGGAAAACAATGGCTTGTTCTTAGTGATGCCAACCAAATTGTGCTGTAGAGATCTTCATCAGGTCTTTGTAGCTGTATAAAAGAAGCCAAAAACTTTAATCAAACTAAATGTGGTGTTTCATGAGGTCTGTTTATTTTCTCCCTTAAAGACACCCAGCACAGTGTAGCTCACTGAGGGTATTTCCACAGGCTGGGGTTTTGAGGCAGTGCTCAGGGAATGCCATCACACACCACATGGCAAAAGGCTGGGCATCACTGCTGCTGCTTTTAATGAAGGATGGAACTATTTTGGGGCTGAGAATGATTTATTGCTCAGATAAACATCAGTCTCAGAGGCTGTGAGATTTTAGAGGAGCAAGCAGTCAGCCACAGCTCAAAGCAGTCACAAGTTCTTCATTACAAGGCAATATAGAACCTTCTGATCCAATGGACAGTTTGTTTTGCTTTTCTAACCTATCACCTTTACTTAATTTTGCTGCAGTGTGGTTACTTTTACCCAATGGGCTCCTGTCTCACATGTACACAAATGTTTCTGTTATAACCTCTAAACTCTGAGCTGCTCTACACAATTATACCCCTATATTAGAACCCTTCACCACCTTATCAATGCAGTTTCTCACTTACTTCAGGCATACCCTTACTTACAACTACAGAAACATAAGTTTATGATTTTTCTGCTTAATGTCTGTGTATTATATCTTTACATCAATCCAGGCTTCTCCCAAGGCTGCAGATCCAACCCTCCTGTGTCTGTGGAATTTTCTGTGTCTCCGATTCCCACAGCTGGGTTTAGGATGAGCTGTGACACTCCAGGGTGTGACCTGCCTCTCATCTTTCCTGTGGGAGGGGTCTCAGGTGTGTCTGTGCCTTCACAGGTGGTGGACATCATGAGGATGAACGTGGACAAGGTGCTGGAAAGGGACCAGAAGCTGTCAGAGCTCGACAACCGGGCAGATGCATTGCAAGCAGGTGCCTCACAGTTTGAGACCAGTGCAGCCAAGCTGAAGAGGAAATACTGGTGGAAAAATTGCAAGGTAAGAAATAGAAACCCTTGTTTGGAATCACTTCATGGCAGGAATTGCTTTCACCTGCCTTTAGTGGGACTTTGCCTGCAGTATGGCACCTCTGACTCATCTCTTCTCGTCAAGGTGAGAAGGAGGTGCCTTGACCTCAAGGCTCCAGAAGTCAAGCAACTCTGATCTTTACCAGAACCCATAATTTCTGCAGTATATAAAATGTAGATACAACGTTTAATGCTTCCCCAGTGCCTTCAAATAGGGATGGGAAACCATTCCATGTTAATTCATGTCAGTTCCCTGTGGGAATCACAAAACCTGATCAGGTGCAGTGAATTCTAGCAGTGGGAGAAAAGAAGTCTTTTCCTTGTGGGGATCATTGATCTGATTTTTCTTCAGGATTGTAAACCATAAAAAATACCCAAAACTGGGTTCTGCAAACTGCTGTGAGAAGGGATAAAATGACAGTCTCTTCTGAAGAGGGGCTGGTTAGGACAGAGCAGGACTTTGATCAACCAGCTGCTTTCTCTGCTGTCTCCAAAGTCTAATCCTTCCCCAAGAGCAGAGGGAGCCTCACTCTCCTTTGCTTTTTCAGACTTTCTCCAATATTTGTGGATTTTGGACCCAGAAACTTCATCTTCTCTTGCTCTTCTAAGGCTCATGTCTTTGCTTCTTCCTGCCCATGCACCACCACCACAAACACTGTGCCAGAAGTTCAGCTTGATTTCCATTTCTCAACACCAACTTTCCTGCTGACCACTTATGTCCACCCAAATCAAACCAGCTGTTCCCAAGGGGGAATCCCACATGTGTCCCTCACTGGGCTGCTGTTGTCTGCTTTGTCTCTTCAATCCACAGTTCCATGAAATGTAGAGCAGACAAAATATTCTGGGTAAAATACATGTAAAAACACTCCAGAAATAAAAGGATCTGCATTAGAAATTTAGCTTAGCAGGTCCTCTGGGCCTCTTTTAGCTGTTGCCCAACTGATAAATCCAGAAGTGCAGGAAGCAGGGCTTTGGGAGCTGCAAGCACAGGTTTGGAGTTAGGTTCACCCATGTGCCTGCAGTCACCACAGTGAGCTGCACTACCTTCAAACCTGCCCTCATCCTCCTTTCCTGCTTTCTCCTGCCTAACAATCCCCCTGTCCCTCCTCAGGCTCCCAAACTCTGCAAAGAGAGGGAAGAGATTCAAAAAGGATCTCCTGCAAGCCAGTGGCTGGCTCTGTCCTCGTGCTGGGAGGAATGGAGGCTTTGATTTGACATTCCCATGTTTGCTGTTTTTCATTCTTTCTGCTCTCTGGGGTAATGATGGCCACTGGGCTGCAGCCTCCCTGGAGGGCTCCCAGGGGCTCTCAGGGGGCTCTGGGCAGCTCCTGCTGCTCTGGGCTGTGCACAGCTGCCTCTGCTCTGCTTGGCACCCACCTGTGTCTGGCCAGCTCTGACAAGAGGCTCTGCTCATTGCTCATTTTAAAACCAGCAATAAATCTGGGGCCTTAGCAACTCTGTTGGAGTAAGTCTTTACAGAGTTAAAAGTATGAGGATTGAGTCATTAAGTAAAAGAAAAAAAAAATGGAGGGGTTAATGTCTCTCACGTGGAAACCTGACTTTCTCTTTTTCTTTCTCATATCTTCTCTTTTTATAGATGATGATCATCCTCGGTGTAGTATGTGCAGTCATTCTCATTATAATTATAAGTGAGTAATTCATTTTCTCTTTTATTTATGTTCTCAATAGCTTGTGACTTAAGAATGGCTGATACATTAAAAAACAAAGTAACAAAAAAAATGGATATAAAATATTTAAACTGATTAATTTGTGAAATTTCCCTTCTAGTGTTATGCTTTTATAGTGAGAATTACTGCAAACTCCCTGGACACATATTGGCAGAATTTGTTGACATTTAATGTTTTTAACATTAGCATGTTACATAACTTTCCCTAGGATTAAAAGCTCTCCCTTTTTATGTTTTAAATAAATTTTTATGCAGTCTCAGAGATCTTCCTTTCAGTATGATGATGATGATGACTGCCACAGTCCCAGTGTTTTCTGCTAAGAACAGTAATTCTTGAAATACCTCATGCCTATAAAAAGAGGGTGAAGGCAAACAGGCATCTGATGAATTTTTTAAAAGCATGTAGGTGCCTGGTTTCTGCCATATCAGCTAGAATTTGAGATGTCAGTGTTTCTGAAGATCCTTTTGCACCTCAAATGCCGAAATGTTGTTATAAGATGTCCCAAAGTCTCACTGACTTCTTTTCTCAAAAGATCATCTCGTTCCACACAGTTGTGTAGGGAAGGTAGCTATGAATGAATAATAGCAGTCCTGCTGGTTGGGACTCAGGGACCTTGTAATGACAGGAACTGAACATTTCATTTATGTAACCCTGTGTTAGCAACAGCTTTTAGGTGACATAACTGTAATATGGCATTAACTCCTAAAAGGGAGATTCTTCAGATACACAATGCAGGTGGTAACCCAGAAGAGATTCAGCAGAAGGCCAGACTGTGGATGTGAGTTAATTCCCAGCTCTCAAGTTACATGCCTGATACTCAGCATGTTTCCATTTTCCTCTGTTGCTCCTGTAAAGAAAGCTTGCAGGATCACCTGTAAACATGACTAAAAGGAATGAGATACATGTGACAGTTTATTAGCCCTATGAATGCTGGCACCAGAGCGACCCAGAATAATTCCAGGGTTTCGTAACACTGATACAGTAAGCATGGGAAATGCTTAGATATTAATTAACTATATTAACTGGGTACTCAAGAGAAAGACCAGCCCTTGTGCAGCAACCAGACAAAAGAAGATGTGCAGCCATTGAACTAATTGCTGGGTACATATTCCTCATTGAGCATTATGGGAGTTTTAAGAAAGTAAAATGTGGTCAAGATAGCTCATATCAACCTCCATGGAAGTTTAGGCTGAAACATATATAAGTAAGAACATTGTTTCATCCTGGTTTAAAATGCTGAATGCCTGTTCTGCTAAATTTAAAAGAAAAAGAAGAAAAAGGCCAGTGCAGGTTTGATGTGGGTTAGGTTGAGTTAGGGTATTTAATCACAAACTTGAATGTCACATTATTCAACCCAGGCTGTAGCTCACCACAGTGAGATCCAGTACCAGGTCAGTGAGATTTGAGTGTACCTGTTGTTCAAATTATTTTCCCAGTTTATTTGATTCCTCTGTAATAAGTTGCATCTAAAGGTTGCAGCTTCACAAAGGACCTTGTGTATTTGACTCAATGCTGTGTTTATTTACAGTAGCTCTCAAGTATATGTTTAAATGCCATAGACATCAAGCCTCCAGGTGCTGTCAGACAAGGCCTGCATGGCTTTTCCAGTCTGATTTGAGTGGGAACAAGGCCATCCCCTCCACGGGGGTGGCTGTGGGTGCAGACAAATGGAGCCATTCCTGTCAGCTGCCATGGTGCTGCCTGCAGGAGGATGCAGTACAGCACACAGCTTTGCTGTACTGGGGACAGCAGATAACATCACTGCCAGACCTTGCCCTTTCTGCCTTCTGAGCCACAGTCTCCCCTGCTCTCTACCCCAGTTTCCCCTCCAAATTCCCCAGGAGCATCCCTGTGTCTGCCACACACCACGCTCCTTCAGCTGGGATGTGCTAAGGGTGTTTGCAGTCCTCACACACTGCTGTGAGACAAAGCACTACAGTAACTGTAATAACTCCTGGGTTTTGTCTTTTTTTTTTAATCTTTCTTTCCTTCTGTTTCATTTCCCAGTTTATTTCTCCACTTGAAAAAGCAGAGAAGGAAGACTTGGCACACCTTTGTTCATATCAACCGACGATATCAGTGTTCCTTTGTTGAACTCCGCTTTTTAATTCCCGCTGTCTTGGGATTTTTGCTTGTAATAACCCATAAGCATTCAGTGTGGTGTATTTTGGAATTCTGTTGTTTCCACAAGAAACTGTACCAGCTAAATACTGCCAAGTAGTTCCATACACTGTCTAATCACTGTGTCTTAAGATGTGTACGCACTGACCTTCAGAAACTGTAGTATATGAAAAGCATCCTAAACCATCTCAGAATCAGAGAATGCAGCTGTGGAGAAGCTCCTGTTTTAAAGGGACACTGCCAGGTGAATTGGACCCAAATCTAAGGTTGCAGCAAACATTAGGACCAAAATTCTCAATCTGAGCTTCTAAAGTTGGATGGCAAAATCCATTGTCAGATGTATCTGCTACTCCCATTGAAGAGAGTGATACCTCTAAGTATTCATGTAAGATATCATGTTTCAGTTTAGCCAACCAAACACAGATTTCTTTGAGGTTAGATGTAGAATCCAAGTCTAAAAACCTTGTCTGCAGTAAAATAAATAAAGACTGGTTTATCACCTTTTATGGATTTAATCTTTTTCCTCATGGAAAACACCTCTCGGTGTTCTAAACAAGCAAGATGGCCTCAATATGAAAGCCAGAAAGGGAAAAAAAACCCTGTGTGACAGCCAAAAAGCATTAGCTAGCACAGTCCTGAAAAAGCCAAGGGAAATGCAGAAGTGGTGATGCAAGCATCACAAATGGCTCAGGTGCAGTCTCTTGCTGAACACTCAAGGTCCCATTTGTCAGGTTCCATGGGACATCTCTGGGATGCCAATCCCCAATAACTGGGCCCTGACCTGAGGCCCATGAGCAGCGTTGGTGATGTCTGCCCAGCCCTGGGGAGGGAGCTGCCTCTGCAGCAGTTTGCAGAAATGGTCCCCACTGCCAGGATGGTTCAAAAATCAGGAAGGAGGCAGGGGGGAACAGTGGGGAGAGGCTGAGAAAGGGAAGGGTGCCTAGCAAAGCTTTCCTGGAGAAGAGGAAAGAACAGAAACACTGTTGAAAGTAGGGGTGTTAATAGGCTTTAAAAAGATATATTTTAATTTGTGCATGTGGATAGTTCATAGACTATTATGTCATCTTTGTAAAGTGCTCAGCTGAGATACCTATTATACTCAATTAATTTAAACTAACATTTGATGTAATTAAAAGAAATTATATATTGTGGCTTGAAAGAAAGTTCTTTATGCTTTGGTGAATTTCTTGTTTTTCTTTTTAAAACAGTGAATAGTTTAATCATCCTTAACCAAACTAAAAATGAATTAATCAAATTTTGAGCCAGGAAATTCAGGAAAATGTCTTTTTAGGATAACTCCTTTAGAATTTCTAAAAAGAATTAATAGAAATAAAAATAATGAATTTGATGGGTTGGGGTTTTTTGTCTGCAATTTAATTAGGGAATAGAAACAGTGATAATAGTAGTGTAATTATTCCCACTGAGAAGTATTTCTCTTGACATAGGTTTAGAGTAAAAAAAATTGAGAGCCTGACCAGTTGGTTGCTGTGAATCTACATAAAAACTGTGCTGAAGTAGAATTTTGCAGAGAGAATAAGTAATGATCAATTGAAAGGTTCCAGTTGCATTTTTCCCTAAATATTTATCACTTTCCAGTCATGTGTACTACTTCATATCATTAAGTCAAAAGTGGCCCCAGTCTTAATGAAGCTGAATATTCAAAGTTACTAATGTGATACTGGACTCCCTGGTATGCCCTGATCATTCAGTCCTTCACTGGGTGAGAACCCAAACAATTCAGAAATCCTCCTGGGCTGGACAAAAATGTAGCAGGGATGAAAGACCTGACTCTGTGAGGTGACACAACTGTGTATGCATTAGCTTTCACTGGGAGAGGAATGAGCCATCCAACTTCAGGAGCCTTGTTAAACTGCTAAGGTTATCTGACATCTGATCTGAAGGAATTATCTGCTGATCGTGGGACCCTGCCACCCACACCTGTTATTCATATTGATAATTGATATTATCAATATCAGTATTCTTATCGATATTGATATTGAGCGTGGTGTCCTTCCAGGGCTTCTCTGCTGAACACACTCATGAGATGGGGACAGCTTTTGCTGGAGGTGGTGCAATCAGGAAGGGGAAATGCTGATACTGAGCCTTAATACAGATGTTCCTTCTCCTCTGGGAGGCTGAACTGATACTCAGCTGATAGGAGTGCAAATACACATCAAAGAGTTTGAATCCTCTAGCTGCAAACACACAAAGCTCCCACATGAAACTGCAGTGGAAGTGCTACAAGGATGCAAAGCTCACATTCTCCCAGATAATGTAGTTCAAGCAAGTTAATAATCAAAATAAAATCTCACCTTTAGGTGAGAGTGGAGAACAGAAACTGCTCCTTGTGGAATGTGGACCTATTCTCTCTCAAAATTGTAACTAATGGGGATGACTGCTAAATATAAGTGAGAATTTGCAAGGAAGAGTTAAGAAACCTGCCTTCTAGTGGGTTGTAGAATGTTTCCTCCTGACTATTTCCTCCTGTGTGGTGATGAAGTATGGTAAATTAACGTGTTTAACTTTTCAAAGTCATTGACCCATGGTGTGCTCTTGAATGCTCAATGTTTGCTACTGCTTGTGCTGTGCTGGTTGGTTGTCATTGGTGAGATAAGCCTTGTAATCTTTCTAATTCTGCCCAGGGAGCATGAACAAATGTGTCTGATGCACAGAACTCAGCTGCTCTTGCAGAGGGTTAAACCTTCAGCAAGGAGAACATGGTGATGGAGGACTGTTCAGGGTCAGAGATTGTGCAACAGCATCTCTCCCATCCGTGCAGGCTGGTGCAGGGCACAATCTATAGAAACACAGTTGGAGCTCTCATTTGTGGTGGAGCCAGGATTGACTGCCTTCCACTCTGTGTTTGAAATGTCTGGGCAGTTACAACTGCCTGCCTGGGAACTTTCCATGAAATGGTTAAGTCATTCTTGTTCAGTCACCACCAACCAGAATTTCAGCTCCTGCTCTGTGCCACTGATACTGCCTGGGCTCTTCCCCTGGGCTGGTAAAAGAAAATGTCACAAAAGGGCTTCCTTCAGTGACCCCAGGGAATGCAGGGCCATGGCTTTTGACTGCCACCTTGGGGACCAAACTGAGGCCTCTTCTGGCTGGAAGCAATGCTCTTGGTAGCTTTATCCAGAACTAGACACTGTTTGAGACCTGCACATTCCATCCTGTCCAGAAGCTCCTCCTCTGCTGTCTGGAGCATGGCTGTACATGAGAGAGGCTGTACAGCAGGAGATGCCCTTCACAGGGAGCACGGCTGAAAGGAAGGGGTTAACAGCTGCTCAGAGCCTGCACCACGGCTGCTGCTGGGCTTCTCAGTGATCCTGTCAATGATCCCACATCTGCTTCTGAGCTTGAGCAAGTGTTGCTTGCACCCACTATCAACAGGCGACTGAGGTCCTGCTTGGGCACTGCACTTCCAAATTTAGCTCGTGTTGCAGTGACACAGATGTGGCTTTAAACCCAAAACACAGGTGTGGCTTTAAACCCAAAACACAGGTGTGGCTTTAAACCCAAAACCAGTGTAGCACACAACTTGGCAGGAAAACTTAGTGTGGAAGCCCTAACACGGTACTTGACCTGATTTTCACTTGACAGCATTACATAACAGCACAGTCAATCCAACAGAGTCAAACCTAATCCAATACTATTAGAAGGAGGATGGGAGAATCTGATAAAGATTCTGAATGTAACTTAGGGTCTGTAAGACAAGGGGTGATTTAGAAATGTAGCCAGTTGGACTTCTAAAGCTGGCACTTTCATTCAGTTGGAACCTGCATGATGTTACCCCCAGGAACAATTCAGGCTTTTTTTCTTTTTATGTAGTGATCTGCAATAAGAGACTTAAACAGTGATGGAAGATCAGGACATAATTGTCTGCAAGGAACTAATTAGAACAGCCTCAATCTGCTATGCTTTTGTCTGAGTAGCAAGACCTTTTAAAATTCCAGTTTCTGTCACTGCTCCTGTGACAAGGTTTCACCTAACTTTAATTTTATGAGCAGCTGCACTACTTCTTGTCTGAATACAGTGGATTTTAGCTCTTAAGACCAACTTCTTGACTTGACATTGATATTAGAGCATATCTGCAAGATGGCAATGTCTGTTTCCCAGAAGGGCATTGACCATGGGAGACTCAAACTTGAGGAACTTCCAGAAGCTCCATCTCAGCTCTTTCCTGCTTTCACAGAGTGAATTTTCTCTATTCCGTGGGAGATTATCCACACAGAAGGAATATGCATGATCTGTTATTTTTTTTTTAAGAGAGCACCTTGATTGCATGTTGGTGGAGGACCTTCCCAAATAACCTCAGGAGCACTTGGGTATGATCCAGGATTTGCCTCTCAGCCCTGCTCCTCCTGCCCTTTAAACAGGGAAGGGGCTGAACCAGCAGCCATATAAGGCACTGGGCTCCCTCCCAATGTACACAGTGAGTATTAGAGAAAGGCCTCAAAGTCTCTTTGATCTGGATTTACATCCTGACCTGAACTTTAGACCTGTAACAGAACCTAACCTTTGGGCCCTCTATCTCGTCAGAAGACTGAGATGCTCTTCCAGCCAGTTCTTCCTTATCTGATTTAGGTCCCTGTTGCTAGACAAGATACATTTGAGCCAGAGAAAGCATAAGCACTATCAAATTAACTTCTTTAAAGGAAAAATCAAAAGGCTGAAGAAGGTAGTTAGGAAAAAATTAATTTTAGAGAAATTATTGGCTGAAGCTTTCTCAAACTGTTACATTTTTGTCAGGAGGGATACTAGATTGGGATGTATGAAACAACCAAACCAGAACCTCACACCAGTTGTTCTTTCTCCATCTGGTCTACTTCAGAAATACTTCAGGAAAGGATTTTGTTTTCCTCTCCAGTTAATTTCCCTTCCTCAGCTGATTAATGTGTGTCTCAATTGATGTGCTCAGTAGTTTTTATTCTCCATTGAGAACCCTAAGACTCTCTGCCTTTAAACACATGCATAAAAAGAGA